ACCTAGAAAGAACTTTCCAAAAATTCATCTGGGGGAAAAAAAAGAGCCCGAATAGCTGCAGCAATCCTGAGAAAGAAGAACAAAGTACGTGGGATCTCAATACCAGATATAAAGCTGTATTACAAAGTCACTGTTCTTAAAACAGCTTGGTACCGGCACAAGAACAGACATACAGATCAATGGAATAGAATAGAGAACCCAGAAATCGACCCAAATCACTATGCCCAATTAATATTAGACAAAGTCCGGGGTGAGACGGCTTCACATGAACATACAATGGAGTCAAGACAGTCTCTTCAATAAATGGTGCTGGGAAAATTAGACACATACATGAAAAAAATTAAACTAGACCACCAACTTACACCATACACAAAAATAAACTCAAAATGGATAAAGGACTTAAACATAAGACCGGAAACCATAAAAATACTAGAGGAATCCACAGGCAGCAGAATCTCAGACATATGCTGAAGCAATTTCTTCACTGATACTGCTCCTAGGGCAGTGGAAACTAAAAAGAAAATAAACAAATGGGACTACATCAAAATAAAAAGCTTTTGCACAGCAAAGGAAACCCTCAACAAAACAACAAGAAAGCCCACTGCATGCGAGAACATATTTGCAAATGTTATCACCAATAAAGGTTTAATCTCCAACATTTACAGGGAACTCATACAACTTAACAAAAGGAAGATAAACAATCCAATCAAAAAATGGGCAACAGACCTAAATAGATACTTTTGAAAGTAGACAGAAAAAAGGCCAAGAGACATATGAAAACATGCTCAAAGTCACTAATTATCTGAGAGATGCAAATCAAAACGACAATGTGGTATCATCTCACACGTGTTAGAATGGCTATCATCAACAAATCAACAAATGATAAGTGTTGGTGAGGATGTGGAGAAAAAGGAACCCTTTTGCACTGCTGGTGGGAATGCAGACTGGTGCAGCCACTGTAGAGAAGAGTATGGAGTTTCCTCAAAAAACTAAAAATGGAACTCCCATTTGACCCAGTGATCCCACTTCTAGGAATATATTCCAAGAAGCTAGAAACACCAATTAAAAAGGATATATGCACCCCTATGTTCATAGCAGCACAACTCACCATAGCTAAGATATGGAAACAGCCTAAGTGCCCATCAGCAGATGAGTAGATTAAAAAACTGTGGTACATCTACACAATGGAATACTATGCTGTGGTAAAAAAAAAAAAAGGAATTATTACCATTTGCAACAGAATGGATGTAATAAGCCAGTCAGAGAAAGATAAATATCACATGATCTCACTCATTTATGGAATATAATGAACAACATAAACTGATGAACAAAAACAGATCCAGAGACAGAGAAACACAGATCAGACTGTTAAACCTCAGAGGGAAGGTAGGGGACGGTGAGGGTAAGGGGGAGAGACCAACCAAAGAATTTGTAGGCATGCATATAAGCCTAACCAATGGACACAGACAACAAGAGGTTGAGGACATAGCTGGAGGAGGGGGTTGGGGGATAATGGGGGGAATGAGGACACATATGTAATAATAAAATATATATATATTAAATTTTTTAGAATTGAAAAATACAATAATTAGGGGAGTGGAAGAAACTGAGTGATGATGGTCAAAGGGTACGAATTTTCAGATATAAGATAAGTTTTAAAGACCTAATGTACAGACAGCATGGTGACTATAGTTGTTAATAATGTATTATATACTTGAAATTTGCTAAGAAAGTAGTTCTCCACATAAACACACACAAATGGTAATCTTGTGAGGTTATGGATATGTTAATTAACTTGACTGTGGTAATCATTTCACAATGTGTAGGTATACTAAATATAATGTTCGCCTTAAATATTTACAGATTTTATTGGTCAATAGAGCTGGAAAAAATCAATTTAAAAAAGAAAAATATAATAATTAAAATTTAAAAACATACTTGATGGACTCAATAGTAGAATGCAGATAGAAGAAAGTCAATAAACTTGATGATGGACCAATACAAATTATCTATTCTGAATAAAAGAAAGAAAAAACATTGGAAAAACTGAATAAGGCCTCAGGGATCTGTGGGAAAGAGCTAAAGGTCTAATAGTTATGCCATCACTAGAGGCCAGGTGCACAAATTCATGCACAGATGGGATCCCTCAGCCTGGCCAGAGATCAGGGCCGATTGGGGTAGTCCCAATCGGGGCCAGCCAGCCATGGGGAGGGACGGTGGGAGGTTGGTCGGTGGTGGGAGGTTGGCTGTGGGAGCACACTGCCCAGCAGGGGGCAACTCCTACATTGAGCATCTGCCCCCTGGTGGTCAGTGCGTGTCATAACTACCAGCCAGTCATCCAGTCATCCATTCTTAACAGTCACCTAGGCTTTAATATATATGGATAACTATTAGTAAAGAAATGATAGTTCCATGCAGAAAAATATGACGTTAAGGAAGTAAGAGTGCTTAAAACTTTTCAAGTTCAGTGAGATTTCAAATCTGTATATTCTAGAAGCCAAAAAAATGGCTAACAGGATAAGTCCAAAGTCATACACATCCAGATTCAGCATAATTAAAATGGTGAAAACCAAAAACAAAGAAACTTTCTTGAAAGCAGCCAGACACATCCTATATAATAAAGAGGGAATATGCAAATTGACCATCACTCTGCTACAAAGATGGCGGCACCCACAGTGGAGGCGGGGATTTCCATAACGAGCCTTAACAAATAATCAGCAGGGACCTCAGGCTCCGCCCCCCCGCCCCCGTGGGGCCTGACAGGGGACCTCAGGCTGTGCCCCACCACCCAGCAGGGCTTGATGGGGGACCTCAGGCCGCGCCCCTTGCCCCAGCGCCATGCCGGGGGACCTGAGGCTACGCCCCCCCCCCAGCAGGGCTTGACGGGGGACCTAAAGGTGTGCCCCCACCCCGCACCAGGCTGGAGAACCTCAGGCTGTGCCCCCCCCCCACCCGGGGGGGCTTGATGGGGTACCTCAGGCCACACCCCACGCCCCGGCACCGGGCCAGGGGACCTGAGGCCATGCTCCCCTCCTGGTGGGGCTTTACAGGGGACCTGAGGCTGTGCTCCCCTCCCAGTGCTGGGCTGGGGGACCTGAGGCCATGCCCTCCTCCTGGTGGGACTTTACAAGGGACCTGAGGCCATTCCCCCTCCCAGTGGGGCTTTACAGGGGACCTGAGGCTGCGCCCCGCTCCCAGCACCAGGCCAGGGGACCTGAGGCTGCGCCCCCTGCCCGGTGGGGCTAGACGGGGGACCTCAGGCCATACACTCCGCCCTAGTGCCAGGCCAAGGGACCTGAGGCTGCACCCCTCCCCTCCTGCCCAGCAGGGCTTGACAAGGGTAGGACCAGCCGGGTCTGGATCTAGCCCAATGGGGTGGGCCGGCCGGATCTGGGTCTCATGTGATTTTGAGGTGCACATGGGTGGGCGGGGACTTGACTCTGGGTCCCGTGGTGCACTCCAGACTCTAACAGGAGGGAGATTTTCATATACATTTTACTAATTTTCTTTTTTTTTTTTATCTTAAATATTATGATTTATTAAGTTTAAAGAAATAAAGCTAAATAACTTTAAACAAATAGAAGTTACAATGTATACAGTGATAAACTGAGTTGTAACATTTTTAGATGATTTACAAAGGCCATTTTCATCTGTATCAATTTTAAAGAAGTATTAGCAAAATGCAGCATGGGAATACTTAAAAGTAACATATTAAATCTGCCAAATTTCTTAATTTATGTAAAATGTTAAGTTTTTCCCCTATGGTGACCCAATAAGAATACCTCTAATCAACTTTTTATAACTAGCTAACATATATTCATATAACACAAACTACTTTTATTAGCCTGAAAAAAGTAAGCAATAGCCAAAAATAATCACCATGCATTTACAGAACTGTTGGTATACTATTTGCTGTGCAGTCCACTAATATTTATTGAGCTCCTATTTTCCAGGACCAAAAACATAATTGCTACCTTATAGATTTGTCAAAACTGTTCCTCAAGATAATAGCATTTTTATCTTGAACAAAAGAAAATGTTGTTTGCCAACCTAATTTAAAAAAAACACTAAGAATCAGATTTATAGAAACTTGCTCTATACTATAAACAGTAACATATTTAATTATACTAACTGCCAATTTGAAGAGATCACTGATTTTTCACATTCTTACCAGTTTTTGCTTTTATATTTTTTCTTAAATTCATATGAATATATGCAGTATTTTTTGTTTATATCTCATTACTGATTTTTCCTACTTCTCTCCTGAAGGTCATTATGACATATCTATAATTTCTTGCATATAAATTTTAATAAAATATTCTTAAGTGGGAATGTATAGTATTAAGTATTACTCTATTATTCTGGAATTTAAAAATAACACAAGCACACATTTTAAAAAGCTACACATATTAAATAGATACAAACTGATTTCTAAAATATAGTAATATATATTTAAAAAATGAACCTCATTGTAATTTTTGGTTTATAAATTATAATCTTAAATATAGGATGTGAAGAAGTTTAAATGACTATGTATAATGATGGGCAACCTCATATAAGGTACTGAAATACACATTCTTTTAAGTTTAAAGTGCCTTTCCTAAGAACTGGACTAATGGTGGTTCCTCATTTTAGTCCAACTGAAATCAAATTATAAAAGGAATATTTTCCTTTTGTTATTATGGATAACTTTAGCCAAAAGGTCAAACAGCATAGAATTCCACAAATATTGAGGATAATTCAATTGTTAGTAATTTCAAATTCTGGCCCATACCCAGTATTATGTAAGTATAGATTACCTTATAGAAAAGTTGTTCTAGTAAAAGTATCTGGAACAGGAAGGAACTATAAGGGAACAGACCTCATTAGTGCCCTTATTCTACAAGTTAGAGACTGAGGCTCAATCTTGATAAATAACTTGCCTAAGTCATATGCCAACGATAGAACCAGGCCTGATCCTTTTATTCTGGGCTTGTTTTTTTCCTTTCATTTATTTTTAATTTTTTTTTTTTTTTTTTTTTTTTTTTTTTTTTACCATATCTGTGTTCTCTCATTTTAGGACAAACTCATATTACTTATTCACTATATTTTAACTCTAATTTGGAAATGACCCAGTAATAGAACTTTTTATCTATAGTGCAACAACACTCTAGTTTTTCTAAAAAAAAAAAAATGAGCACTATAAGAACAGGACACAGTTCATAATGTTAGGGCACTTTTTGACCTTCGTTAAGCAGAGAAATTTATGCAGGAAAAAGTTCACTTTACATATAATCTGGTTTGGCTGCAAAATGCTTACATAAAAGTCATAGCTTTGAGATGTCTTTATATCATAGTAACTTCATATGTTGTGAAATGGTTTTCTATGATCTTGACATTTTCTTCAGAGAGCCAGTTCTCCTGTTTTAGCTGCCTTATAAGAGCTTCCAAAGACTTCAATCTCCCTAGAGTCTGTTGCTCTTGTAGCTCAAGAAGAGTAATCTTTGAATGTAGTTTACAGACTTTCTGCCAAAGATGCTCCTTATTTATATCCTGTCTGCAGTAAGAATGTTCAAGTTGTAAGACTCCTGTCTCATAGTCTAGCTCCTTACAGGAGTCTTCACTGTCTGTGTCTTCCATTTCTACAGTTTCTTTTTGGACAGGCAGAGAAGGATTAATTGTAGGTTTGGAACTCTCTGTGGGTACATAGATGGCAATGACAGACTCTTTATTTGGGTTTAATTCTTCAACCGTTTGGGTAATGGTGCCGAGTAAGAATGAATGTTCCTGGGCTGACTTAATTTCCACTGAATTATTTGTAACGTTTGGATTAGCAAGATGATTGGTAGTTATTTCAAGCACTTCTTGGGTTTCCAAAGACTGCTGAATACTTTCTGAATTTGAAGTTGTCAAAGTAACAGTTGTCGAATTTAGATTCTCAAAAGATGTGTGAAAACCACCTATGTCTTGGTTAATTGATGTTTCCAAGGTAGATTCTGGTTTTCCAGTGTCTTCCAGTTTAACTAGATTAAGAGTTAATATGTTATTGTGTATACTTCCTGCTTTTGGAGCTGGTGGCTTCACCAACGCAGATGAATGCAGTGATTCTGCATGTTCAGGGAGGACTCCTGTATTAACTGTATTTTTCTTTGGCTCTTTTGATGAAAATGATTCTTGTGACTTGGCTTTCAGGCACACGTCTTTCTCATACTCTATTTTTTTCTTCTGACAGTTGTTTTTGGAAGGGTCTCTTTCCTGACTGTCTTCAGGCAAAGAAAATATTGTTGGAATTGCAGTTTGTTTCAAATATCGAATCCCCCATCTGATGTCAAGAGAGTCAGGAGTGAAATGGTCACTACACAGGAACTGGTATTTACTGGGCATCCATGAATCTCGTTTCATGTTCTTTAACCATTTTCCAAGTCTTTCTTTGTCATGTAGAGGAAACGGGTAAAAACTCAGCTTGCGGTCCTTACTGTTCCGTCCCCGCCGGTTCTTACAGCAAATCGCTGCGCAATAGCGAGGCATCGCTACGGCGCGGCCCGCGAGGGAGACCCGGCGGACTCCGGCACAGGTGGGCCCTCCTCCTCAACCCCAGGCCGCCCCCATTTTACTAATTTTCTTTCATCTCTGACACTTCAACTATAAGGAAAGGGCAAATAGCAATATTAAAATATTTCCTCTAATCCCCTTTTAATGTGCACGAATTTTGTGTACCAGGCCACTAGTTACATATATAAAACAATAATCTGAATGAGTGTAAATTTTTCATCAGAACCATGAACACCAGGAGGCAGTAGCTCAACATTCTTAAAGTGCTAAAAAAAAAACACCAAAAAAAAAACAGTCATCCACAGTTCTATATCAAAATTCCAGTAGAATTTTTGTAGATATAGACATAATGATTCTAAGATTTATATGGAACTAAAATAGCCAAAAATATTGAAAAGAATAAAATTGGAGGAATCACACTACCCAATTTCAGGACTTACAGTAATCAAGCTACAGTAATCAAGTAGGTGTAGACAAATAGATCAATGGTATAGAATAAAGTGCAGAAATAGTCCTATAAAAAGATAGCTCATTAATTTCTGACAAATGTATAAGGCAATTTAATGGAGAAAGGATAGCTTTTTCAACACAGTTTGAACAATTACACATCCATGTGCAAAAAAATTAACTTCAATCTAAACCTCACATCTTATACAAAAATTAACTCAAAAGGTATCATAGATCTAAATGTAAAACTGTAAAATGTTTAGAAGAAAACGCAGGAGAAAATCTTTGTGACTTCGGGTTAGGTGAAGAGTTAGAGATGACACCAAAAGTATGATTCATAAAACAAAATAACTGATAAATTGTATTTCATCAAAATTAAAAACATGTGCTCTGTAAAAGATACTGTTAAGAAAATGAAAAGACTCATAGACTGACTGAAAATATATGCAAATCATATAACCAATATAGGAATCATATTAAGAACATACAAAGAATTCTCAAAACTCAACAGTAAGGAAACAAACAACCGAATTAAAAATTGGCAAAAGACCTGAACGGGCACTTTACCAAAGAAGATATATGGATAGCAAATAAGCACATAAAAATATTGAACATCCTTAGCCATTAGGGAAGTGCAAATCAAAACCACAATGAAACACCACTACATCTCTTAGGATGCATAAAATAAAAAACACTAATAATATCAAGTGTCATGAAGAACACATGGAACTCTTATACATTGCTGGTGGTAATGCAAAATGGGACAGCCAATCTGGAAAAGTTTGGCATTTCTTGTTAAATTAAACATTCACTTATCCTACGACTCAACAATCCCACTCCTAGGTATTTATCCTAAAGAAATGAAAACTTATGTTCACATTAAAATCTGTACAAAATGTTCATATTTTATTAAGTTCTATTCAAAATCACCAGAAAATGGAAACAACCCAAAATGTACTTCAATAGGTAAATGAATGTGATAGATCCATAATGGGTTATTACTCAGAAATAAAAAGGAATGAACAAGATTGATACACACAACAACATAGACAAATTTCAAAGGAATTATGCTGGAAAAAAGCCAGTTTCCAAAGAATGTTTACTATACTGTTCCACTTAGATGACATTCCCAAAATGAAAAAACTGTAGTGATGGAAAATAGATCAATGGCTAGCAAAGGTTACGTACAGGAGGAGGGTATGACTACAAGGAATAACACAAGGTCATTTTCTGGGATACTTCGATACATGTACTAAAACTCACAGAACTTGTTCACTACAAAAGTCAATTTTAGTGTATATTCATTTTTAAAATAAAATAAGAGGAACCTATTGCTTTAGGTTAAAATAACTTAAACGTAGTGTTTTTATCTCCAATTCCTCTCAAGACTCAATTAAGATAAAAACATTAAAATGGTCTATGTAGAATAAGAGAGCAAACAAGTTCAGACCAGGTTTTAACAAATGTTTTGTTTGTTTAATTATATCTTTACTAGAGGCCTGGTGTATATTTGCCAGCTGTGAGCTCAGCTTCTGGCCAAGCGGCACTCCCCCTGTGGGAGCCCACTGACCACCAGGAGGCAGCTCCTGCGTTGAGTGTCTGCCCCCTGGTGGTCAGTGTGTGTCAAAGCGGCCAGTCGTTCTGCTGTTTGGTCGATTTGCATATTAGCCTTTTATTATATAGGACTAGAGGCCCGTTGCACAAAAATTTGTGCACTCGGGTGGGTCCCTCAGCCGGCCTGTGCCCTCTCGCAGTCTGGGGCCCCTCGGGAGCCCCTTCCCCTGGCTGCTGGCACCAGTTTTCCTCCAGCGCCCGGAACCCAGGCCTTCACTCTTCGCCGGGAGGGGCCGGTGCAGCGGGCTTCACTCTTCACTTTTCGCTGGCCGCTCGGGCCCTGGGGGTGAGGTCGGCGTGGCGGGCGAGGGGCTTAGCTCTTTGCTCACCACGCAGGCCCTGGGGGCAGGGCCTGCATGGCAAGCTTAGCGCTTAGCTCTTCGCTCGCCACGCCAGCCTTCCCTCACTGCTCCTGCCTGGGGCCAGCTGGCTTCGCTCCGTCGCTTGGCGCCTACATATGCAAATTAGCCGCCATCTTTATTGGTGGTTAATTTGCATATTGCCCTGATTAGCCAATGGGAAGTGTAGCAAAGGTACAGTCAATTACCCTTTTTGTCTTTTATTAGATAGGATTGTTGAGAGTATTATAGCTGTTCCTCCCTTCCCTCCCCCCATTGACTTCCTCTACCCAATCCCACCTTGCCCTAGGCCTTCACCACCCTAGTGTCTGTGTCCATGGGTAATGTATTTATTCATATAAGTTTTTTGGTTAATCTTTTCCCAACCCCTCCCCACTTCCACCTGAGATTCATCAGTCTGTTCCATGTTTCCAAGCCTGTGGTTCTATATTATTCATTGGTTTGTTTATTAGATTCCTTGTTTATTTATTTTTAGATTCAATTGTTGATAGATATGTATTTATTGCCATTTTACTATTCATATTTTGGTATTTTTTTTCCTTCTTCCTCTTAAAGGAAACCCTTAAAGTAGCTCAGGTGACTGGGGAGGCTGAACTACTGGGGCCTATAGGACACCTACTACACAAAGCCATTCTACCAATTCCAGGAGACATAGCAGTTCTATCTAATACACAGAAACAAACACAGGGAACCAGCAAAAGTGCAGAGACAAAGAAATATCACAAATTAAAGAACAGAAGAAACTTCCAGAAAAAGAACCAAATGAAATGGAAGCAAGCAAACTACTAGATACAGAGTTCAAAACAAAGGTTATAAGGATGCTCAAGGAACTTAATGAGAGTTTCAAGGATCTTAGTGAGAATGTTAAGAACTTAGTGAGAATTTCAAGGAAATTAGTGAGAACTTCAAAGACATGAAAAAGGACCAGTCAGAAATGAAGGATACACTAACTTTTATGACGAATAATTTATAGGAAAGCAACAGTAGAGTAGAGGTCGCTGAGAATCAAATCAGCAATTTGGAATATGAGGAAGCAAAAAAAACTAAACAAAAGAGCAAAAAGAAAAAAGGATCCAAAAATATGAAGTTAGTGTAAGGAGCCTCTGGGACAACTTCAAGCGTACCAACATTTGCATCATGGAGTGCTAGAAGGAGAAGAGAGGGAGCAAGAAATTAAAAATCTATTTGAAAAAATAATGACCAAAAACTTCCCCTAGGTGGTGAAAGAAATAGACATACAAGTCCAGAAAGCAAAGAGAGCCCCAAGCAACATTGAACCTAAAGAGGACCACACCAAGATACATCACAATTAAAATGCCAAGGGTTAAAGACAAAGAGAACATTTTAAAAGCAGCAAGAGAATAGCAGTTACCTACAAAGAGTGCCCATAGGACTGTCAGCTTATTTCTCAACAGAAACTTTGCAGGCCAGAAGGGAGTGGTAAAAAATATTCAAAGTGATGAAAAGCAAGGACCTACAACTAAGATTACTCTACCCAGAAAAGCTATCATTTAGAATTGAAGGTCATATAAAGAGCTTCACAGACAAGAAAAAGGTAAACGAGTTCACCACCAAACCTTTATTATAAGAAATGTTAACAAATGTTTTTAATATTAACAGTGAGTGGGTGGGTTGAGTGGTATATGGTTAAGCAAAGAGGAAAAAACTGATACCTCATTCTTTGCTCAAATTTAACCAATCTATGCTCAATCTCTGGCAGAGATTCTAGGTTAGAACCTAAGAATTAGAGGTATCTCCACAGGCTGGGATGTCTGGTGGAGCTGAACAAAGAATAGTTCAAAGTCTTTATAAGCATCCCCAATTCCCCTCCTCCAGCCAGCTCGCTGCCCGTCCCTAACTATGCAAAAGGTAAGAGGTTTACTCTGGGGCTGGGGACTGGTGTGAAACAGAGAAGCTTTTTACTTGCAAATACCAGATATAGCTGAGTGGGATAAAGCATGATACTAAAAACATGAGCAGATAAGCAACCAAAAATTACCAATTAAGAAAAACCTATAATATGTAAGGAAAGCAAAATAAGAGAAAAAGGGGAACTCTAAGAAATATTGACAATGTGAGGAACATTAAGGTCATATGAAAAAATAATCCAGTGAGCTCATCAGAAACAAACAGACCTAACAAAATATATTCCATTCTATCAAATAATATTTCTATTCTTCCCATGTAAGATTTTCATGACCACAGACTGTAATGGCTCAACTGCAATAAACACTTCCTCACCCCAAAACACTCAATGTGGGTATCATCGTTTCAAGTCTACAAAACTTTAGACTTAATGGTGGCACTCCAGAATCACTTCCCCCCACTCCATCAACATCCCCAAACATGTCTCAAGAGTGAAATCAAACCATACTAAAATTATATAAAAAATAAAATCAAAGCTAAGAAGAAAATTTGTTTTGTTGATTAAAAACAAAAAACAATCTTTTTTTTTTTTCAAGAGTGTACAGAGGATGCACAGTATTGGTGATTCCAATGTTTTCTTTAGAGTGGCCTTTCTGTACAGTAAACCCTCGATTTTGTGGACCTCAACTTAATGGACTTCAGATTTAACAGACAAAATTTTCGGTCCCTATGTCATATGTGAAAATTAACACCCTGATAATTTTAAAATTCTTTTAGCCA